TGCTATTTATTGTCATTGTTTATGTCTATAAACTTACATTGTTTACATCTGTATACTGCGATAAATTTGTTAGAAGCTATTATAAACCTTAATTACGAAACTTTGTGTTCAGATAAAGCGACTATATTAAAACAGAACCTAATGGACAGCCGTTAAGTAATTCGATGTGTGTTAGAAAAAGTAATACTTTGATTTTTCTTACATTATGACATTTTTTTCCAGCCTATTTCCCCCCTTTCAAGGGCGCGGGGTGGAGCGTCTAGTATAGAAAGTGTATAGTCATTCGGTAAGGACAAAAACCGAGGCCCAGTGTATATCATTAACTGTCATTAACAACACATTAAAGATGCCCTGGAAGTTGAAAATCAAAATAACAATAGGCAACAACGTCGTTGTTCGGGTAAAATGTCCCTTATAGCACATTGCATGGCGTATGCCCGTCATTAGCCCAGAGTCAAGCCAGATGCATAGAATGTTGGAATCTGGCCATCAAATAGCGTTATTTAAATGTATTAATCGTGTTATAGTATGTTGTCAACTCGGCAAGTCAATAATATTGACAGTTAACAAGATGTATTGCCAGATTCTTTCAGAACATTATTATATTTCTAGATATACTTCCTGGGCATTCATCAATAACATAGTCTTATCCTTCCTTGAGATGGTCTGTCATCGAATCAATGAGATTTTACTTTTCACATAATATCATCTAATCCCTTAGTATTTTATCAACTGACCTACATATATATTGCCCTTAATTAATCACAATAAATAATGCAGGACGACGGGACCTCGGTTTTACGTCCAATCCGAACGACTAAACAGCTGTCCTTTTCATGCCCTTCGTTCTGCATGATTGACAAGAGGAAACCACGTCGGAAAATCCAGATTAACTTTATCGGCTAATCGTGACCTCCAGGCTATTGAGCTAACGTGTTACCCACTTAGCCACCGTGGCTCCTGCATACGCTTATGAACCCAATGGTTAATAACCCCAAAACATATATGTTAAAAACTATTGTTTTTAATGGGTTCACAATTTTTTCGTAATGGGGATCATGTGGGTGGATGGGGGCGCTGGGTCGGAAAGTTTCGGAAATGATAGGGTGCGTTCTCTCATTAACCCCAATGCTTCACATTAATTTATGAAGAAACAAACGGATTTAATGTGTATCCTCCTTGGTGTTCATAAGGTTTTCAGAATAGGGGGGGGGGGAGAAACCCAGGAACCCGGTTCATCCCTTTATGTCACGAATACTTCATAGAGCCCCCCCCCCACATGATTCCCAATACGAAAACCTTGTGAATCCAATAGAAGCAATAGTTTTTAACAGATTTATTTTTCAATTTGGGTATTTACCATTGGTTTCATAAGCGTATGAACCTTATCGATTTCAGTGTTCCATGACCTGCTGTTCCAGCGAAAGGGGATTGGGTGGTCTAGTGGTGCGCGTGAAACCACAAGGTCTGTCATAGAGTCAAGTGGCGTTGTTTCGATTGACCGCTTGTACGTGATAATGAGTCGGATCGCTTGTCCAACCTCGTGGGTTTTCTCTGGGTCCGCTTGTTTCCTCCCACTGCTAAGCGAATTATTGAAATAAAATAGAACCATGTGTTAGCCCCGAAATGACCTAGTTTGTGTCGCAGTTCCAGGTTTACCGTATCAAGCCCGACAGCATTTCGATAAAGATAGAGATCACGATTGTTTTTTAACATATATTTTTTTCAAATTTGGTATTTGGAGCATTGGGGTCACTAGTCGACGTGTTAAATAGTAAATCAATTAATTCGATTAATCGAAATAATTAATTCGTTTAAAGAAAAAAAAATCATTTAAAGAAAAAAAAATCATTTAAAGAAAAAAAATATTTCGTTTAAAGAAAATAAATATTTCTTTTAAACAAAAAAAAAATAATTCGTTTAAATGAATTTGTTATAACGAATTAATATTTCGTTTACACGAATTAATTATTTCGATTAAAAGAATTAATTATTTCGATTAAAAGAATTAATTATTTCGATAAATCGAATTTACTGATTTAGGATTCAAAATCGCCCCAATTTCTGCTCTGTCGCAGTCTTTATTTTACTTACCAATATGTTCATAAAAAAAAAAAAATGATTTCAATTTATTCTTTTATTTCTGCTATGCTGGACCTTTAATATAGAAACGGTTAACTTTATTGTCGTTCATTTTAAATGCATCTTCATCATGACCATTTCCAATATAATAGACACCGAAAAGAAAACAGTCTTATAAGATAAACTTAAGTTTTCGTGACAAAAGAAATCCATTTATACAGAAAACAAAGAAACAGTAAAGGCAACAGAAAATCTCCGATAAATGTATTGATTTAAAGTCACCCTTTGTTCTAAGAATAGAATCTTATGTTGGGATTTTTCTATGAAAACCAGAATAACTGGATTTATTTCGACTTATCTAAAGATCCAATAAGAGATTTATCCATCAATCGTATACCCCGGAACGTTATAGGACAGCTCCCTCCAACTATTAATATGGTGAACCACGTTTCGTGTTGTCTATAACTTATTTGTATATCAGTTGTTCTGTCTGTAACTTATTTTTGCACTATTTGTTCTGTCTTTAACGGCGCGCTGTATCATAAAGTCTGTCATTGAGTCGACTGGCGTGGTTTCGAATCCCCGGTTGTACGTGACAAGGAGTAGGGTCACCTGTCCAACCTCGTGGGTTTTCTCCGGGTCCTCCGGTTTCCTCCCACTGCTAAAGACCCCTATTCGCAAGCGAATTATTGAAATAACATTAAACCATATGTTAGTCCCGAAATGACCTAGTTTGTGTCAGTGGACGTTAAACCCCATCTCTCTCTCTCTCTCTCTCTCTCTCTCTCTCTGTAACTTATTTGTGCATCAGTTGCTCTGTCTGTAACTTATTTGTGCATCAGTTGCTCTGTCTGTAACTTATTTGTGCACCAACTGTTTTGTCTGTAACAAATCCGTACACCTATTGTACTATCTCTAACAAATTCGTGTACCAATTGTTCTATCTGTAACTTATTTGTGTACCATTTGTTCTGTCTTTAACGTTTTTATGTATGAACTGTGCTGTATCAATTGTTCAGTCTGTGCAGTGTTCCCGGGTTGATCTTTAATGTATTGTTGAATTATTTTCAAGAATGATGTTATTTTATTCTTTTTGCAGAACATCAAAAAACAAATCAGATGATTCAGTAATGATAAGTATCATATAAAAGGGCTGTCGGTAAATTCGAGACCGAAATTTTGTTATTTTTATTTTCTATGGTATGGTATTCGAGATGGAAAATTTCGACGAAAAATGATCATCTACAACTGAATTTACTTCATGTATAAGTCTAACACAACATTAAAACTAAATAAAGCCAATTAATTCTGATAATTTAGTCCTGTATTTTATATGCATCTACGGGGTGGGGGTAGATCGTTGCATTATCAGGTGCGCGTGGTGCGCGTGAAACCACAAGGTCTGTCACTGAGTCAAGTAGCGTGGTTTTGATTCCCCGCTTGTACGTGACAAGGAGTAGGGTCGCCTGTCCAAACGCGTTGGTTTTATCTATGCATATATTGTGCATCGTTAAAGTGACCGCGATCCATGAAAAAGATTTTGTTTTTCACGTTTTTTAAAATGTCAAAGATGAGCAGTAAACTGTAATTTCACTGACTTGAATATTTTTTTAAAAAATTTTGATTATAATTTAATACTGGGAAAAGAGGAAGGAAAAAGGTAGCTGTCGAAGTTTCAAATCCGGCGTCTTTTAATTGTTCACCATGCGTGACACAATGTTTATATTACACTAAACTAGGATAGTATGTCGGCACAGCCAGGTGTAATATTATTGAGCCACTGATGACAAGAAAATATGACTCCACGCCCATTTGTCTTGTGTAAAAAAAAATTAGAAGATTTATTGTGTCAAGTTTACAATTATCTTTTTTCTCAGTGGGATGGGATAAAGTCCCGTAATTATAAACTTTATAATTCAGCTTTTGTTTGGGCAGAGACTCACAGTGGTTTTGAGTATTATTGTTCTAGGTCACTTGTCAATGGTGAATAACGAAAACCAGAGGTACATGTTAGAGTGCACGCCCACAGAACCCTTGACATAAAGCATCTGATGTGTAAGCGGAACCACCACTGTGGAAACAATATGCGTCCGCCGGTCCTTCGGGGGGGGGGGGAGCGTATAAAGTGACCAGGTTATAATACGAATCTCATAGTTAACTGTGATGTTGTACGTGGTTTTCAGTCGGCACGGGTGGCCAGGTTTTCTATATACGTTAGGATGGGCCGAAAACCTGGGGTACCGTGTATACCATTGGCGGTACGTTCCAGATCGCCAGACAGTAATTTATATAAAAAAAATCAAACGCAATCCACCCCTACACATATGTTGTATCAAATTAACCAGAATGACCCCGTGAATGTATTAGACCATCGAATTTGAGCCCGGGGTGAATTGGGACTAGACCCTGGACGAATCACTTACGCAGTGGCGTTTAGTCTAGTTCATCACAAATCGCGCCTGAAGGTATAGAGTACACGCCGGCGTCTACTGATTTTAAATTTGTTCACCGTGTCTTAAATATCTGATACCAGGAGCCCATATTTTCACGGTAAAATGACAAAATCAATAATGCGACGGCAACCGACCAATAAGTAGTCCAACCTCGAGGGTTTTCCACGGGTCCTCCGGTTTCCTCCCACTGCTAAAGTGAAATGAAATGAAATTGGGTTTAACGTCCTACTGTTCTGCTCCGAGAGAAAAAAAATACAGCAACTCAATAATTCTTCTTTATGAGATTTTCTCAATTTGCACATCTCTATGATGTATTGCCGTCATCTTTCTGTGAGACAGTGGAAACTCTATGAATACTAAAGTCTGTTCGTTTTCGGGATATCGATTTTAAGAACCACGATACACAGAAAATTACACGCTTTTCTAGGTTTATCGCAGTGATAAATTTATAATGCGAGAGTGGAGGGAAGATGTCTTGATAGCTGACAAAATGTAATATGTATAGTGCTATATAACTATAGCGAGAAAAAACGGCAATGCATAATTTTTCTAACAGATTCTTGAAGAACATCTTTTGTAGGTGCATCATTGTGAATTTCTGGTAAGTAACATTTCATTGACTGTCAATTGTTTTCATATAATAACGAAAGATGTATTCAAAGTCTTGGCTCCTCCGATTCAAGCAGTTTCAATGAAAAGTAATAATTTTTCTAATATATTCTTGACGAGGATGTTTTTTGGGTGCATCATTGTGAATTTCTGGTATTAGTGGTAAGTAGTATTTTAATGACTCTCTGTTGTGTTCATGTATAACGAAAAGTGTAGTCAACGTCTTGGGACCTTTGATTCAGTAAGTTTCAACGAAACGTAATATCGTTTATGCCATGGAATATTGTATGGGTTCTTTCTGATTATGGCTGTCAACCCTGGTCTTTTTTTGATGACTTAGCAATATGCTTAGAGGGAGAAAAGGGGAGGGGGTGTAACGTCCATTCGACACAAACTAGGTGAATCCGGGACTAACATATGTTCAATCGTATTTCAACCATTCGCTTGCGCGTAGGGGTTGTTAGCAGTGGGAGGCAACCGGAGAGCTCGGAGTAAACCACGAGGTTGGACAGGCAACCCTGCTCCTTGACACATACACGCCGGAAGTCGCAACCACGTCACTTGACCCAGTGACAGACCTTATGATCTAAACCATTTAGCAATATGCAAATGCACATCAAAGACATCGTGTGTTATACATAATACACAATAAAGTAGCAATATTATCAGAATTACTCGAGGTGATTTATCCAGTCATATAATCGCTTTAGTTTTTTACATGAACACATTATGACGATCATAGGAAATCCGGCTTGTTTTTTCACATTATGACGATCATAGGAAATCCGGCTTGTTCTCGTAATTTTAAGGGGGAACACGGTGGCTAAGTGGGTAAGACGCTGGCTCGCTAGCCTGGAGGTCGGCGTGGTTCCCCCTTGTCAGTGATGCAGGACGGATGGCCTGACAAGGACAGCTGTCTAATCATTCGGATGAGACGAAAAACCGAGGTCCCGTGTACACATTGGCGTGCACGTAAAAGATCCCTTGACAGCTGGAATTCGATTTAAGAGTAGGCCGTAGTGCCGCTCTCCGGGCAAAATTTCCCTCATAGCACACTGTATGGCGTATGCCCGTCTTCATTAGCCCAGTTCGGAGCAAAACAGTAAGACGTTAAACCCCATTTCATTTCATTTCATTTCATTTCATTTCATAATTCTAAGAAATATTTAAACTTGAAACACGTTCACTAAAACAAACGATGGCCTAATTTAAGCCATCATAGGATCAGAGTCAGCACTGTGAGCATCAGTGACCAATTGGAACATCTTTAGTGCGCTGTTGGGTTATTATTATGCGAGGTCTGTCAGTGAATTAATCAAGGCAGTTTTACTAGGAAAGACTAGATTTGTCCAGCTCTTAGGTACGGGTCCCAATTGTGATCAATTGAGATATGTCTAAGCCCAAAGACGTGGTATCACGTGGTTAATTTATGTCAGTAGTCTTAATGAATATTATCAGGCGGGGGGGGGGGGGGGTAATGTTTACTATTTATCAAAATGCAATCAAGATTGAACATAGTCTTCTGAAAGTTATAAAGCATTAACCAGGACAGGAAGAAGGGAATGGAGGCTCCTTCATAATTCTTCAAATTATTTCGTCTACACCAGCATTGGAGCTTTTGAACTCCTATAGAGCACATAGTCTCGTATTGGACGGAGTTATCTGTATACATTCAAATTGATGAAATCGTGAGGACGCGATACACGACAGAGTTCTTGAACAAGTTCTATGGACCTTGGTGTTGCAGAAAAGAACCCGGATCGAAATATTTGAATGCCTTCTGTCAAGTTATCTATATATGTATTCACATTTTGGTTGTTAAAGGTTGAGAAGACGATACAGAAAAAGTTCAATACGTAGGGTTATTCAAGCCCTATCGAAATTCAGAATAGTTTGATGAAAGTTTAAACTTGATCATTTTCTCTCAAATTACGCGTTAAGCTCTAATTTTAACATTTCCGTAATAATAATGTGTAAATTTATAATGGGCTTCGTCCACATCACAAATCGTTTTGCGATACAATTAATACCGCGGTCTCTTGGGTACATTCGTCTCAAGGATACAGAGAAAGCTGATCATGGACTGGATCACAGTGATGACGTATTGAATTTCAAGGACAAAAGAAATCGACGCATAATTCTAGTCCCGAACCTCCAACCGTTTTGTCTCAAATTCCACGCCCTAATTAGTGAGTCAAATAAAAGTATAGTCAAATTACGTCAAATCCACTAAAATGTTTTTTCAACAGTCAAAATCTCCACTTCTTCTTCTTCTTTCCTAGAGTTTTACGTCCACTTCCACCATGGGTGATATCGTAGACAAACAAAGCCCTAATACCTCTTATAGTGAAAACATCCGTGACAATTATTATGGAGTTGGGCCGTGTGAATTTAGAGAATTATATTTTACAGAAAATTATGCAATATCACAATATTTTTTAGACAGTCGCCACTCGCTAAATAAATCCTAGTTACGGTACACGGTACTTATGGGACCAGACAAAGTTGATGGGATGAGTCACTTCCTTGGTTCGTTCCTGGTGTTGCCCGAGAAAGTCATCAGAATTTTCTGGCGTGGTTCCCCATTATCAGTGGTGCAGGTCGGAGGACCGGGCATGGGACAACGTATAGTCGTTCGGATGGGACGAAAAAGCGAGGTCGTGTGTACATATTGACATATTGCACGTAATTCGATATAAGTGTTGGCGGTAGTGCCACACTAGTTACCCCCATAACACACTATATGGCGTATACCCGTCTTCATGAACCCAGTCGGTGCAGAACAGTAGGACGTTAAACCCACATTTGATTTCATATATTACGTTTTAACAGATTGAATCGTTTGGGCCCTACATGATTAACGAAACCAAATGTGGCGTAGCAATGGTAGTCGTAATTTCGGCCTATAGTTTACAAATTAATATGGAATATTTTTAATAATTGTAGTAATATACCAAGTATACTTTTAATGTTGTCACTTATATTTGAGAATAAATACAAAAGGGGAGGGCACAATTATTAATTAACGGATATAGATTGTAGGTCATGCAGGTCCCTACCCTAACCTTGTACTCACTGAGTTTCATCAAATTGACAGGAGTAATTAGTATTACGAAAGTTATTTTTAGTCTTTCTCCCCCTTTCCCTTTTTCCCCCTTTTGCATGGCGATTTTTGTTGACTTTTTGGTGTAGAATCGAAGAAAAGGGTTTGAAAATACATTTTCTACCAGGTTTTGGTGAATATTCATGATTTTGAGGCGGAAGGATACAAGAGTTGAGAGGTTGGTTAGGTTGAAATGTAGGGTCCAAAATTGCATGTTTTCTTGTCTCTACTTCCAGCTTGTGTATCTCAAGTTTTCCATGGTGAACCTCATACGTGCTTTTGGGCAAGAGGTTGCCACAAGTTGCTCCATCTGTGGTAGAAAGCGTTCTACCCAACGAAAATTTGGGAAAAAGTTAGAGCCGGTCTAAGAGTCAAGAATTAACATTAAAGTCAATGGGTTAAAAGCAATTGGAATACAAGTGCCAGTCTTCCTGACGTGAATATCAAATGTTGGTTAGATTAGAAGTTGGCCTAGAAATCAATATACAATAAACATGATCTATGTACTTCACTACATATTGCTCTTGGGCAATTCTACAGAGAATATATTCAACTTCCGTTACTCTCTCATATCTCAGTTATGTACACATCTAATATTTAAAAGCATCTCACCGCTTTGGTTAGATAAAATGATAATTTCGATTTTATTACAGCTAATGCGATAACGTGATTTGCGACGAGAGTATCTGTCAACATTTAAAAAAATAGGTCCCCAGATAAAATACTTTACCGAGATATAACTGAGTACGTTTTCAACAAAATACATTTTAAAGGAGCAAAATCGCTAATATTTAGGACCTAGAAATTGACAAAAATGTGTCGCAGCGCATGTAAACGTATATAAACTGGTTTACCTTAAAATCCGTTATGTTCGGCAAAATACGCCAGAAGCCTCGACCGAATGGCAATCTCTAGAGTCTGGTTATTCCAGTCCACACCGATAGTATTTACTGCGTATGCTCTCAAGATAAGAATATGACATCACCGTTTGACATGGCTTGTGGAATATGTTTAATCTCGTTATTCGAGTCCATTGTTACAAATGGCGCTGAAACGCATTATGGTACACGCTTCGTGTACCAATGGAAAACATGTTTATTTTGTCTTAAATATTGGATATCAGAGGTCCCTTTTTTCCCGGTAAGACCACGGCATCAATATTGATTAAAATTGACAAATAATTCGTGTTTTCAATGTTGAAGACTTTGGGTGATACAGAGTTAGAGACTTAGCTACTTTAAGTCAAAAGTGAAATTAAAATTTGCTTAATTCTTGGAAACAAAAAAATTAATTGTATAGAGCGTGTCTAATGAATGATTTAAATAAGAAAACAGTCAACCCAATGCTAATCGGTTAAATATGGTTCTAGTTCTACAGGATTAATAATTAATCAGAGTGACATATTATATTTACATTTGTCAACAATTAGATGTGATAGTGTTTTATCATGTCTTTATTAAAAACACCGCTACCCGTAGAGATGAAGGGGTCAATGTCTTGTAATATCACTCTTACCACCCAAACTGTGATACTGTATGATGGCAAAATGTCATATGAAATAATATGTAATTTGATATTGTATGAAAGCAAAATGACACATGAAATAATATAATTTATAGAATGTGATAATGTATGGTGGCAAAGTGACACCTGAAATAATATTCTACAAAACTGTATTAAAAAGCATCAGGACATGCGTTTGATAAAATTGACTGTCTGAATCAAATTAAACACTGCAATGCAATATATACATTTCACTCAGTTAATCTGTTCTGTTTAGCATTGGGAATATGCACAATCCTTTTATCAGATGGTATTAATATTACTTGTTGAACCTACTTTATATTCATTTACTTATTATATACCAGTTTTGAACAATGAAGGGGGAG